TTTTCTTTTTTCTTTTTTTTTGCCCTTTATGTTTTGCATGCAACATATGAAACCACATGTACTGTGCTCTGCAGGCAGGTTTCCCCACCTCCTGCTTTCACAGCCCCTTCTCTCGTACTGTCCACCCACACCAGCGGTTTCACTTCGTCTGATCAGAACCTTCGCTCAGGTCTGTGTGGGTATCAAACAACAAACCGTCTAACGAAAGCTGCTGTGGTCAAACCAGATTCCACCCAAAAAAAAAACACAATAGCTGTGGCTAAAAGGATCCAGAGCAGGACGAATATATTCTGAACCTAAGTAATCGTCCTTTTATTTTATTTAAAAGGTTCAGCACTACAATCATGAACATGAACAACAAAATACAAATAAATCCTTTGTATTGAACCAAAACTTCATCCGGTCTGTGTTCATATGGCAGAACTGACAATAAGGTTGACTTTGCTTTTAAAAGACAAAACTACAGCTTTAATTTTTGAATTTAATTTTAAAGAGTGTTCATAAGCTACAGTAAGATGAAGTGAGACAGTGAAAATGTTTTACCTGGTAACTCCAGGAGAGCAGAAGGACCTTGGTGTTGGTGTCCTCAGCGGACGACGACACCTTGATGACGATAGACTCCACCATGACGGTGCCGTCAGGGAGGTGCTGGATGGTGTAACCTTTCAACACGCTGAAACACAGGAATCAGAAAACAAGTGATTAGAACAAGTCATACTACATGTCATGCTTTTTTCTAGTGGTACATAATTTAACAAGAAATTTAAAAAATGAAAAAAGACTGTACATCGCAAACATACTTCAAGAAATGAGAGGAAGTAAAAAGACATGAGAAGTGGGAGAAAATAAAAAACTAAAATCTGATGTGTTTTGCAGATGAGACATCTTCGCCGGAGGACGAATCCCCGTCCCCCTTCCTGCGGGGACACTCTCACCTTTTGAGGTGCGTGTAGATCCTGTGGAGTGTGTCGGGGTCGCTGTGCGGGTCCTGGAGCTGCACGCGGCAGGTGAAGCGCAACTGATGTTCGTTGAGGCCGAGCTCCTTCAGCGCCTGTTCTGACGACACCAGCTTCAGACTCTGCTCTCGGGGAAAGACGACAAGAGAAGTGAATCAGAACGAGTCAGTCATGGTAACGCAAGCAAATCAGGCTGCAGGTCATCTGTTCGAAGACGTTTTCAGAATATCAAAATAGAGAAAACACTCTGATATCTAGTTTCTAAACTCACGTTTTCTTTCATGATCAAGGTTCCGTGCATGGTGCGAGGTTTTTTGGGATCAGGCAGAGGTCCTTCAACACAACAATGATTTAGTTAATGTACCGACCAGTATATATATATATACACAAATAAAAAAGCAAATCAATACAGAAACAACAATTTAAATTTACAAAAATGTATATTCTGTGCATCTCACAGCATTTTCAACACCAACAACTATCAAGCACCTATACAGTTTTCAACATGCAGCGGCCACTTTATTAGGTACACCTGTAAAATCTATTGCAGTTCAACCAGAGCGAGAGAGGTCTGGATGTTTGGGGCTGATTCAGACGCCAAAAGTTTTTGATATCAATCTATTATTACAGTTTGATATTAAATGT